GACCGCAAGCGGGCCGAACAGCTTGCAAAACTGCACCTCGATGCCGGTAATTGTTTTGTGAACAGCTCTGTTCATTCCGATCCGCGACTGCCCTTTGGCGGCGTGAAGCAAAGTGGGTATGGGCGCGAATTGGGCAGCTTCGGCATCCGTGAATTCACGAATATAAAAACAGTGTTTATTCAGTAAATTTGAGTGGTATGACGAAGGAAAAACTGTTAGCGCTAGCTGCCGGGATGCCAGATCAATTCCATGTTGATGAGGTTATTGAACGGTTGCTGTTTATTGCCGATGTGGAGGGAGGGATGCAGGAAATCAGGGATGGTAACGGAATTCCTCATGAAGAAGTGGAGAAAATGATTGATTAGTGGCGCAAATAATATGGGCTCCTAAAGCCAGAAAGGAGCTTGCATCAATCCATGCCTTTATAGCACAGGATTCTGAGAAGTACGCATTGATTGTTGCGGAAGAGATCTTGAATCGGGTTCGAAACCTGATAACCTATCCTGGTAAGGGGAAAATAGTGCCTGAGTTTCAAAATGCTGATATCCGGGAACTTAAAGTTTATAGTTACAGGGTCATTTACCAGATTGCCTCACAAACAAAATTGCCATTCTAAAAGTCCGGCATCAATCAAGACGCTTGAAAACCTTATAATATGTACACTTACCTCGCCCTCGGCGACTCTTACACGATTGGCGAACTCGTTGCTTCGCGTGAAAATTTCCCGCACCAACTGGTTGCACTGATGAAACAGGACCAGTTTGATATTGCCGATCCGGTCATTATCGCCACTACCGGCTGGACTACGGATGAACTGGCTGCCTCGATCCGCGAACATAATATCCATGAGACCTTTTCCTTTGTTACGCTGCTGATCGGTGTCAATAACCAGTATCGTGGGCGCGATGTGGATGATTATAAAAAAGAATTCACCAACCTGCTCAACCAGGCTATTTTGTTTGCCAACGGGCATGCCCGCCATGTCTTTGTCTTGTCGATCCCTGATTGGGGCGTTACCCCTTTTGCCGAAGGCAAAGACCGGGCGAAAATTGCACAGGAGATCGATGCGTATAACAACGCCTGCAAGGAAATAACCCTGGCCAATAAATGCCAGTACCTGGATATTACAGACAGCACCCGGAAGAATGCAACGGATAGCAC